GCCTCGCGGTTACTACGAAATTCATTATCCGGGGTAATGATTACGAAAAAAGTTCACGGAGAAACAAAAACCCGGAATAATTCAAATACATATTTTTGTTGAAAGGATTTTAATAGAAAGGATTTTTAGAGGAAATGTTTAAAAAATTAACTGAATTGAAATTTACAATGTTGCTATAGACATACAAAGAAATTTGCATCAATTGTTCGTATGCATATATTTTGGGAAGTTTCTGAGCTGTGCGACGAAGGAAAGTTCAGGTAGGCTGAGTTTGCTAACTGCAGTGAAGGGAATACATCGTGTTCGCCACATGTCTGCCACTCTCATGGGACACCGTTAGCTGGCTGGTAAAATCGTACAATCGACCCAAAATGTGAAATACATACAAATAGTTTGAGAATCGGATAACTGGATTCGCGGATATTCGAACCTCCGAGTAATGAAGATTCCACAGTATGCTGTCATCCGCCAATGAGAATCCTCTAATGAAAACTGCAGAATCATATATGCTGTAAGCACACCATTATAGCATTCGTGTTAGGATAATTGATATAAAAAGCATAATTTACAGAAATATGTATTTTATCAGTCAAAATTATAAATTTTTCATTTACTTAATTTGTTCGGAAGGTCTCAAGGCAAAACAACAATTCCACAAGTATTACAAATTCATTTTATTTTCCAATCTCAAACACGGAACATATAAATTAGTTATTCATCATTAAATACGTTGAATTATGCAGCGTTTATAACAGCTACGCCATTACGCAGTTCTCAGTCAAAAGTCCAAGACGGCAGTTGAGAATGCTCGTACTTTATAGTGCTTCAATGCCTCCTGCGCTTCGCCAGGGGTACATAGGCGTGCAGCACATTCCTGGAGGACATCCATCACAGGAAAGAAAGTGCGACAAATCAATTTGCGGCATATTATGCTGCTCACGCGAAGTACCTGAGAATAACGTTGAGTGCAAGAAATGCCTCAAGAGTAATTACGCACGATAGTCGAAAAGCGGTTAAGAGTTGTAAGATTATTTACTGAACGCAGAAATAGTCCGCAAAAAAACTGAATTAAAGTTAACTCGTCTGTCATTTCTAAACAGATTTGGATGCTTGGATTTTACAGTAAAACTCACTTGGTCATATCTCACGAAAGTTCATAAACTTTCAAATTGTAAAATGTATATTGTCGATATGAAAGGAAAGTGGCAAATTTTAAAATTCGTAATTTTTCAGATAAGTCCCGAAATAAATATTTAAAAAATTGTCTGCATTTACTAGTAAACAAATCATAAAAATTGTAGTTCACAAGACCTCCGTATATAGTGTAATAGAGTTAGATTTTGGCATCGAAATAAAACCACCAACTTAGAATAAAACGGCTAACGCAAAATGAGAATTTTCTAAATGAATCCCTTTTCTGGTGCTCCGATAGCATAACGAATTTTATTTACTAATTTTTTCCCAAATTTTGTTTCGCCTCCTCGTATATATCTTAAAAAAACGAACTGAATATATCTTCTCAAGAGCTCCAAGGGCATGAAGTCCTGCTGAATTGCACTGTATTGCAATCGCCGAAAGAGGAAAGTGTGCACAGTAGACGGATCAGTGCCCACTCCAGCGAGTAACCTTCACGGCCGAGGGTCGCTAAACCATGTGCATGCGCCGAGGCCAGCAGGCCTTTAACTTAGCGCCGGCTCGTCCCCTTCATATTGTCATACACACTGAAGCACTGTATCATGCTGCCGAAATTATTTTTAAAAACGTTACCACAATCTATCGGAAACTTCTTTTGACTGATATATGGAAAAAAATATCAATATTGACTTTCTGAAGCAACCTTGTTTAAATAGTACTACAAGTTTACCTCGTCTTTACGAAAATAAGCAAAGACGATCTCTGTAAAGACGACTATTGCATTTCTAAAAATATCAATAACGCTTTGCCAAAGTTATTGTGTCAATGTTTTTAACCACTTTTTTAAAGTTTGAAACCACTCGTAGAAGATTTCTACATTTAGTGTTAGTCAACCAGGTTAAATTAACAACTCCGCAAATTCTGCGTCTGTCCAGTTCTAATACAGGAAAAAATGATCTTAAAATAGCGCTTGTATAATTAAATCCAAAATTACATTGGTTAATTAAAAATAACTGAGTGGTGCAAAGCGTCAATTAATATAAAGCAAAAAACAAACCAAAACAAAAAATCTTAACCATTGTTGGCGGAGCGCGCGTTTGAAATCTTCTGGGAAGAATGCAAGAGTCGTGCCAATATCCCACCGATTCCATAATGTCCGTCCTCAAGTCTCGTCACCCGCCCGCGCCTCCCACGCGCAATTCGCGCCCGCCGGGCCTCCTCGAAAGCGAAGATTGTTTTACAGCGAGATCTCCACGCCCGCGGCCCGGCCTGGCCCGGCCGGCCGGCCGGCGATATTAGCCTAACACTTCGTGGAGGTATCCCTACAATTGTGCTTCGCTCTGAAAGGTGCTCCAAAGGCCGGCCAAAGTGTTATGCGGTATCATTAGATGGGATACAAAACAACGGCGACATGATGAATTGTCTGTCATGGAAAGGAATTCAGAAGGTAGCGGCCTTAATACTCTTGTCCGCGCGGTGCGGCGGCGGCTGGAGGGGGTGGGACCGGCGGGATGAGAGGGAGGGGGGTCGGTGCCCCCACAAAAACAACGGGGCGCGCCTTTTCAAAATCGGAATCTTGCGAATCATCTCAGAAATTGGAAGAGCGACTGAGCTACTCGCAGCACGAGGTTCGCTCGACACACACCCGAGCGCTGCACTCGCGGGCAGTCCCTCGCCACGTGGAAGCCACGGCGACGGGTACTTCGCAAACAGGGCATTTTGCTAGGGAACAACTACTCCTAAAATGTCCCCTGTTGTTTAAAAATGTAAATCTGTGAGAGAGAAAAGGGAGGCGTTGATGTGGAAAAGCAAGGAAATCACACGAGCAAAATTGTACAGGGCAAGCAGAAAACGTGCCAAAGTTGCCATTTCAATGTGTTTGTCTGAGAGAGGAATTCGGACGTTTCTACGGAAAAACATGGAAGTCACACAAGAAAAAAAATGTACAGAACAAGCAGAAAAAGTTTGCGAAAGTTGTCATTTAAACGTGTTTGAGAGAAATTGAAGCGTGTAATACACACAAGCCAAAGTTACACGACAGGCAGTAAATGTTTGCCAAAGCTGCCCCGCTTTTGAAGAGTCATATTTGGAGCGTCGAAATCTAAACTACATCTTCTAGGGACAGTTTTTATCACGGCACCGTCATCTAGTTCTAACATTTTACCCAACAAAAAATTAATTTTCGTTTCCTTCGTTTCTAACATTGTTTTCCGTTTCAACGTCTTAACAAGGTTACTTTCGTTCTGTAAGAGCTAAGGCAATATGGAGAGGCTTTTAGACGCAAATGTGTGACAAGCAAATGCTCTGTGTCGGAGTTGGGTAACCACAACTTTCAATGTGACAGTAATTTGTGGAAGAGTACTTCAAATTAACAAATCCTTACACATAAGAATCGTCCAATGGGGAAAAGCATGATAAGACCATCGTTACGCTACAAAATGTAAAATACATATGTGAAACATTTGAAATAAATACTATATCTCATTATCCAATATTTTTGGGCCCAATTCTGATTACATACCTCGAGAATTTAGGAACATTTACCAGAAATTGGAACAATTCTAACATATTCAACAATTGTTTCTCATTTTTCAACATTCCCATTTATAACTAAATACTATAATAAATTCCTGCACAAGGGGCATGTATTTTCAGAAGCCACAATTTATTCATGAAGAGTATCTTTACGCTTCAGTTCGCGATGAACGGTTTCATAACACATCTGGATATCACTCTTTCAGTGTTTAAAGGGTCGTCAATTTATTGCAATTGATTTATTTATGTTTTCTACCTATGTTGCAAAGGCAACCACAGGTTGGAGCCAATTCTATTCTTTGTTTACTCAAAAATTTTGAGATATTATTTTTCCACCTGGGGCAATTTCAAATTATTTTATCTCCATCCAACTCATATTCATGTAAAGAAATATTCGACTTTTCGAAGAAATCCGGCTTCAAATGAATTTTCAAGAGCCTCTTAAGGAGAATGATGTGAGAGAGTATTTCGATTTTCTCGGCGCGAGAACTATTTTAACCATTAGTAACGTGAGCGCAGTGCATGTAATAGCCGGGTGATAGAACATGAGGCCCAGCGATGACTTACTACACTTCGGCCAGCGGTGCCGGGATACGCTCAAAGTTCCCGACTGGCCTCCCGATATGTGGTGGAGTAATGCGTGTTTGTGTGTGTGTACAGGAGGGAAGGGCAAACATTAAGAAATCGGACAATCGAGCGCCATTCGTGGCCCGTTTGTTAGGGTACTCTGGCTTTCACCTGGTATTGATCGTAGAAACCACAAAAAAACTACTGATGATAACAGCCAGCCGTTAGAATTATCCTTCAAACAGTGGTTAAAGTTGACCTAATTCTATAGATACTGTCGAAACTCTGACACCGTCGAGACTGGAATACTGGGATCTCCAGGTCAGAGATGCAGCCGTAGCAGCAACAGTTATTGAGCCATCTCAACTACTAATGCGACAGACAAAAGTGAAAATATTGTAAACGCGAAACTGCAGAGAAACTAAAAATAGCATAGATTTCGTAACGTTCGCCGGCTCGCGTGCGTAACATGGGCCTCGCATTTAGATGGCCAGTGCTGTGCTTCTGCCTCGGGCAAAAAACTGGCGAACCCTTCCTTGGCGACGAGCGGTTCCAAACGACGAAACGCGCGCCTCGCGGCGAATAATGGAATGGGCAATTAGGAAGGGGATTGTCTCTTCGGAGAAACTTGTTGCGCTTTTATTACGGCGAGCGCCGAAACTATCTTGGGCGTTTTTCTTTACGTCTGTCACCTCCTTCGTTGGCTACTGCGCCTCTAATGATGATTTCTAAGTAAACAGATGGAGATGAAGTTTATTTCACCAGTCTTAAGTGAAATGGTGAATGTACCCAAAATGTGTAGTCATGATTGCATGTGAACTGATTACCGCTGAACTAAATGTTAGTACGTCTTGAGATTAATGTGAAGATTATAAGACTTCCTTTCTGATCATATTAAAGCTAAATGTTCTAATTTGTTTTAAAGTTATATCTAATGCGCTATCAGATGTTCGAAACGACGAAATGAAAATAGGGAAGATGTTGGCACATTTAGGTTTAGCTTAGACTTTAACATTTTTAAAAAATAATTAAAGATAAGGAAATGAATTCTAAATGTGATGGTTTCTTAACAAGTGACATGTATTTCTTAATTTCTCTTGTCTTTTTAAATTTCTCTTTCATCATTATATATTGAAAATATAACGCAAATAAGCAACATATTTACAAGTTCGTTAAAAGAATAACATAACATTAAAATGCGCGGAAGTGTGAGAAAAGTGAGTAACCATCAATGCTCCAGGCGGAAGGGCCAAATGCTTGTTTGATCTCCTCAGATGGGCCAAGGGACTTACACTCGAGAGCCATGCAGCCCTACTGTGACATGGGAGGCGGCGAGGGCGTCTACTCGCTATACTACCCGAATCGAAATATGAATGCCCACGGGTTGGACAAGAGTGCGAAATTCCATTCAACGTTCTCTAAATTTCCAGAAGTCTTCCGTAAGTACGAGAGGAATGTCTGCACCGCACAGCGATAACAGTTTTCCCCAGATCCGCAGTAATATTTCCCTTGCATGAAGCTTACCATTTGCGAAGCATTTGTCCTTGATTGATGTGTTTTCTAAAAGAGTTGCTGACTTTCTCATTTGTGTTTTCCTGGGTCGATCGACACAACCCTGGCCGTTGTCAATACGTTCGCTAAATGAATGCAACTGCCCTTCCAACTAAAACAAAGCTCCCACCGACATTGTACGTTTTGTTGTCGTTTTTTTGCATCCTTTAAATATAGTTCCTTTGATGTTTAATAACAATTTTGGTAAGGGATTTCCAAACAGAAGGCCTTCCTAGTGAATAATCATTTATATACATCTTTCTAAAATATAATTTATCTACAATCATAAAACACTTTGCGGCATTACTTATACATAAACTTTTCAATCTTTAGAAGACGTCTTCCCTACAAATATATAAAAGGGAATGTGTGTATATATTTCGCATATAGATGCAAAACTACTCGAAAGATTTCGCAGCTATTTTCACACTTTGTTCTTATTAGTATCGGGAGTATTTAAAGAATGGTTTGAATTACATCGGATATGTATAGGCGTTGTTTTTGCAAAATTAATCGATGTGGGTTCTACGCCATTGCCAGAAGGCATTGCTTGACGTGCAATTTGTGGGTATCTTTTGGAACTACACGCCTCGATTCGACTCAATATCGAATAAGATCCCAGGTGCGACCTGGAAAGCAGAAAGTCTGAAGCAAATGCTGACAATGAAAAACATTATTCGAATATTTTATTTTTAAAGTGTATTGTAATATAGTAAAGGGAATTCATTCATGCATCGTAAAGTGTAGTTAATACGCATCTTCATTGAATAAATTGATTTTAACGTGAATTGTATTTATTTAATACAATGCAAAAGCAAAGCATTACCAGAGCAGCTAGTTTTACACAAAACATTTTCAACCCCTTGCTTCTGATGCTCCGAAAGTCAGAAAAGTGCTTTCTCGATGGAAGTGCTCTTTGAGCGACCAGCCCGCTTCTATAACTTCTGTGAACGTTCCCTCGTGATTTTGTGTTTGCGAACCCAAATAACGCACTTAGTGTAAAATTCCAATCGAGGCGGTAAAAAAAGCGCAACCCAACAGTTTTTCTCCACAGCACCGAAAGGGCGCCGGTGGAGAGTGTCATATGGCGCTGACGCGAAAGATTGATGGCGTATTTGCCAACGTTTCGTTCTCCACGACCGAAGAACTACTGGCAAAAATCTGTCAAAATGACATCGCGTTACCAGTACAAACACGCAGTTGCAAATGAGAATACGATAACAAGGCAATAGTGACGTTTCGTATTTCCCACTGAGAACTTGATTGCAGATGTGGGCGAATTTTATCATCAGAAATGTCCTCATTCTCGAAATAACCTTTCCATGATTTCTCTTATGATGAAACACTGGTTGCGCCTCGTGCTGATATAGTTTTTACGATAGTATTCTCAACTCTGAGCATATAAATTAGTTCAAATACTGTTCAAAAGCATGTCTCATTAGGAATAGGAATTATTTTTATCTTGTCCGCTGTTATACTAGTAATGATATTATATTAGGCATTCGTACTCTGTCAATGAGAGGTGAAAAGAAATGTTAACGAGGAGGGTAACATTCTTACAGAGTGAGTATATTGCTTCTATCTTTTAACATAGCTTTGACGGAGGTAAATCATCTTCGTTAACATATTAGCAGTAGTTAACATACTAAATGGAATTGCAGAAACTGTAATAGCCTCACCGCGCTTTACATATCTGCACTCTGAAAATTAGTATTCAAGATATTATACATCAATGCGAGTGAGAACAACAGTTACACACCTCCATATGTGTTTGTTAACCTATTCTCTATATTTTGGGACGATACACAATACAGGTTAAAATCCTGTTAGCAATTGAAAATATATTCGAAAACTCAATCGCAGATATCATTTTGAATAGATCCGAACTTTTGTGAAACAACTACTCTTGTACCTCAACCAGGTACAAGAACCCAACTATGTAGATGCGATTTGCGCGCTCCACACTTTCGGCGAGGAGCGAGCGACAGGTAGCCCAAACCCGAGTAGTCGAGGTACTCGGCAAATGTTCACTTTCACAAGGCGGCTCCACGTATTCGGTATTCTCCGAGCAGCGAACTACTGCTCGCCCAGTACCGAACAGCTGATGTGTTTGGTGAATGTTCCCTCCCTTTGATGTGTCCCTTTGAAGATCGACACGCGGTGAGTAGGGTGAATGCCGAATGTTCGTCGCTCTGCAAATAGCAAGTAATTCGTCCACACTACTCGGGATTCAGCGAGCGGTTGCTCGGGATTCGCCGAGTAACTAGTGTGTAAAGCCGCCTTTAGATGTACCCCGACTGCAGGTAGGGCGGGCTCCGCATGTTTGGTTCTCGGCGAATTGGGAGCAACCCAACCCCACTACTCGGGACTCGACAAGCGGTCACTCGACAGCTGAACGCGAAGCCCAGATGTCTCAAATCTTCGTTTCTTTACATTAATTTCTGTGCCATAAGCTTTTTTGAAAATTAAATTTATTTTCTAAGCATTAAAAAGTTTTTCAACAAAATTACGAAACTGACAATGAAGCAAATAACGGACGTGGCAGAAGCAAATTGTAATAATCAACGAAGCCCTTTTTTATAATATCAGTTCTCTATTATTTTTTAGAAATCCTGCATTCTTGACGATTTTTGGAAAGATATTTTTAACACGCCTTGCGCGAAATGCTGTTTTTCGTACTTATATTACGTGTGCAAAACTGCTAATTTTTTTCACGATGTGCGAAACACCGCGTAGCGTGTGCGAGACATTCGTAACGATTCGCAATTGTCTATCGTGCTGACGACGTCTTTGTTTATGATTTACAAACAATAGTGTTACGACACTTAATGGAATCCATTTACATTTGTACAAGGAAGGTAAAAGAAAATTGATATCCTTTGACGTATTCCGTTTCGTTCACGGCGTGTTAAAAAATAGTACACGCAACACGGGCGCGAGGTAATTCCCTCACCCGTTCTCTTGGCTCCTGCTCGTGCATAAATCACGCGTTTCTCACCCTTGTTACGTAAACTACTATTCTGCAGAGCGGTGCAAGTGTGCTGACCCCGTAGAATCTCATTTAAAAATGATCTCAAGAAAACGTGCGACAATTATACCCCTCTCCATATGTCATATACATTTTTCACTGTTTTTGACTTTTCCACTCGTGAAATTAAAACAAATAGTGTTAAACTATACATATAAAATGCCCCAATCAGGACGGTGTATCTCAAAAAAATTATCACATTTTCTATCCGACTTTTCTCACCGCTTCTCTCTACTGGCCTATCATACACAGTGACTCTTCTCTCTTAGGAGGCGGTACACATCGATCGCTGTATCGATGTCTAATAAACCGCGTATGTTCTTCGATTTTTAACATAGTTTTCAGTTATTTTCAATCTTTGGCGCACTTCAGAACTTTGTTGAACTTTGTTGTTTCATTTGTGGAATTGTCCTATTAAATATCACTCGAGCTTCGGAAATTCTCAAAAAAATCCCCTCCTCGTTTCGCGAGTCGGGGATTTACCGATAATTTGCAAAGAACTCGTGGTATTACCAATGATTAATACCAATCAAACGCCATAAGTGCTCATTATAACCAGAAAGAGCTAAGTAAATCTGTCGCCTGGAGCGGCCGCCAACACCTCGCCCAACAGTGACCTTGCGGGAACCTCATTGCTCGAACTGCTCACCGTGAAGGGTTATGAGGCACGAGGTCTCTACGGTCGAAGGCGTCGCGTTGCTAGGTTGCGGACAAATGAATGCTTTCTGCATGTGCCACGAATCTCCTGCGAGCTATCGCGCATGAGTGAAGATGATCGACAAGATCTATGTTTAAACATTGGTCGTGATGATTAAAATGAACGCATTCATTAATGGTTAAAAGTACATATCGTTCGTGGGCTGCAATGGGCAAGTCAAAACAACTCAAAAATCAGGCATTGAGATACATGAGTTTGAAGTATTTGCCTTGAATTGAAATGCATCATTCTTGCATTCACACTTCTGCCATTTGTTGGTGGAATACTGTACTGTAAGATATACTCCTGTTGCTGCTGAAAGATAGATCAATCTATCTGCAATTCTGGAGAGGGCATTAACACCAAATTCTATTTTTTAGTTGTGTCCTATTGGAGCCCAGAACAATATTTACTTTTGACCATTAATGAATGCGTACATTTTTAATCAACACCACAATATGGTGATCACCAGACATTAGTTGGCAGTTCCAATTCTTCAATTAACCGGTAAGAAAGTTATGAATAAACATTGCAACGCAAGCATGAAATAAACTGTAAAAAATATTGTTCTACTCACCAATTAATGTATATTGCATTTAATAAAAGTGTCTTGAATTAGCGAACCCACAATCACTACAAACACAACTAACAGATCTGTAAAGAGATTCCCGCAGTATCACAGAATTGCCAACTGAGGAAATTAACATAAACATAAAAAGATGGACCCAATGTGATGAGAGTTGAGTTTTGAGATATTTCTTTCTTTCAATGGCGCCCATTGATAATATTAAGCGATATGCTATAATTTTTTTCATAGACATGACCAAAAATAACAAATGTGCAAAACGCAGAATAATAAATCACCACGCGGTACTTCAGAAACTCTAAGGTGTATCATGTAAGTGTAAATATAATTATTTATGGCAGCGATTGCGATGCTTAAACTGAGGTAAGAGATTTTAGAAATTAGAAGCATGTGAAAGATATGGTACAATGTTTAATTGTTTCCAATAGATAATAAGACAATTTCCGCTCTAGTTTCTCGTACTTTACCTACATAGAAGCACGATCGTTTCGACCGCTACGATTTTGTAAGCTTCTACCAGTAGCTACTAGAGAGCGCTGGCTGTCGTAGATCTTTGAATGGAGGAATATATTGTCTGAAGTCTTACCAGCCGAATGAAGGTGTAGAAAATAAATGATATTCTATCGTGGGTGTTAAATGGTTTAAAATGATTGAAGACACAATGAATCACTTCAAGACAAATGACTATTACTATATTATTGGAAAAATCTGAAATTAGTATCGAGTTTTACATCCTTTCGTAACAAAACATTAATGATAGTTTTTATGTTATAATGTATGTATGCCCAAAATTCATACTCATACAATATTTGCGATGGTGTTAATAGCAACAAAATTGCCTAGTGGCACAGTCGGTTAGTACAAGAATAAAAATAGGGCATAAGTGTTAAAAACAATTTCGTATAAGTATTTGTCATTGGCTGCAAAGAAAATTAAAACCTGGCATCTTCATACGTATTTGGATACCACAAAATTCAATGTCAACAAGAAAAAAACAACAATTGTTTTAGATTATAATAACACTAATACAAAAAAATGTGCTTACAATAACACCTCAGTTTTTTCCTTACGAATAGCGTAAAATTAACTTACCCGACCTTATTGCCATATCTAAGATGTACAATATCTGAGAGACGCGACACAGTGAGTATAAAAAATAAAAATTATTCTTGAATAGAAGAGTCACTTTCTGGAGGAACACTTCATCTGGTCATCAAACGAACGCCATCTGTTCATCGGGCAAATCGCGGCAACACTTTATCTAGCAATGTATTTTTATGAAGGCCTACAATTGCTTTAGTGGTTTAAATAGAAAAAACCTAGGCAGCTTGTACTAAGTAATATCTATCATCTACCGAATAAATATGATATCACCAGAAACCTTCATTCTCCTTACGTTTGGCTGGAATCCTTTTTGTGTCATTGACAGCTGTGTTATATGGTTGCCTTGTTACTCTGAAATCTTCAATCCTTGGTTCTATACATTCAGTTGTTATTACTATTCTAACTTCCAACAGGCTGTTTAATTCCAATTAAAAATGTAACATTTTGTTCTAATGGGATTTTTTCCATTCGCTCTTCAGCCGTGTCCGATCATCATTCGGCTGCATTGTACTCAACACACCATCACCAAGCCACGGCTATGCTGCCCGCTATGGGAGGCCCGCCAACGTCATACGCCACGCCTCTGCCATCGCAGGTGAGTTACTCAAACTGAGATACTACTAGTAAGCACACCCATAACGTCATGTTCTCTCCACTTCTTTTGAAAATATTGGCAGATTGCAAAAATAATCGCGCTGAATTATTTTAAGACGTTTTGTTTTATAGTACCCGTGAATGACATATGGCAAGATATATGAACTCTGCTTGGCACTTGAGAAAAATTCAACACGACTGCCACGATAACAAAGTCAGTAACAAAACGCCAATCTGTCAGAGACAACACTTGGGGAAACAAAAGAATGTCGCGACTCTTCAATCCACAGTTAGCTCTGTTTACATTGTATCTATTCAGTCTTATTTGCTGGCTCACAGATACGCACTATCTGCGATTTAACAGATAAGAAATATCTGTGAAATCAAACTTTATTATACCAAATCCTAAAATGTGAAATTATGTAACGAAATGCTGATCGGTGAGAATTGCTCGTACTTATTGAAAAAAATGTTTCAAAATAATGCAACTATTTTTCAAAGTAATTCATTTTAAACGACTTTGTTAGACATTACGTTTCCTACAAGTTGCATAGGGGAAACTACATGTTGTACTAAATAAATAAATAGATAAATAAATAAATAAATAAATAAATAAGTAAATAAATAAGTAAATAAATAAGTAAATAACTAAATAAATAAGTAAATAAATAAGTAAATAACTAAATAAATAAGTAAATAAGTAAGTAAATAAGTAAGTAAATAACTAAATAAATAAGTAAATAGATAAGTAAATAAATAAGTAAGTAAATAAGTAAGTAAATAACTAAATAAATAAGTAAGTAAATAACTAAATAAATAAGTAAATAAATAAGTAAGTAAATAAGTAAATAAATTGAAAGATGCGGAATGTCAATTATGTCTTTGTGAGACACGTAGTGTAGGCGTTTGTTTATGTTCGTGTCGCTGCGTGCAGATGCCGTGCATGGGAGCGGCGTCCGGGGGAGCGCACCAGCTGGGGCAGTCGGTGTCGCCCAATATGGCCGGCGGGTACGCGGCGCCTCCCGCCTCCGCCCACCAGGTGCCGCCCGGCAGCCTCGCCCTCGTCGGCCCAGGTGAGCCTCCCGCCCACGCGCCCGTCCTCCCGCGCACCCACCCTCCCACTCACCTACACACACACACACACACACCTGCACTCGCCCTCTACTCGCCATGAACCCTTCTGCCATCGTAGCCACACACACACACACCTATCCATAAATCCTGCCCAAGCTCCCTCATGCATTTCCCGCCCTCCAGCCACACCTTCGGTGGAGGTGAGCCCCATACCCACATACAAACCCACACGTCTCCCCACCAATGCACTCCACATCCTTCTCAACCTTGCCGAGGAAAGCACAGAAGTGGCTTCAAGCCGTTTTCTTTATTTTATTTTTTTAATGAAATTCACAATAAAAACTACGGACTAGAATTCTCAAAAGTTCAGTTTTCGAAAGCTCTAAGATGTGTTTACATGTTCAACTCATGCATAATATCGTGAAATATGATCTTGCTAAAAGAATCCATGAAAAATAATTAATTAATATTTTCTTGATAAATAGAAACGCTTTTAGAATTTTTCTATTCAATTGAATCAACTCCATTTCCCAACATCATTTTTAATTTTATTAAAGCATTACAATTTATTGAGCATTGTATAATTATCATCTCGGTATTACCTGATTAAAAATGTCTTATTAATATTTTCATTTTGTAATCAAATATTATTTTAAAGTAAGTTCAGTTAAGTTTGTTAGGAATAGTTAACGATTTGCAGATGTTTATTTTGATTTATTTTATGGTCACGTTTCACAGATGTATTTCATATTTTTTTTATCTCATACGCATTTTAGTCCACTAGCAACGAATAACTGCTGGGCTATAAAACTCATTATTTTCGCTCAAAATACTTTCTCCTTTATGACCCTAGTCAAAACAACTTTGCGACCCTAACTCTAATTTTAGACATCTCGTGGCTCTTCTGCAGTGCACATGTTTAGTCTACGAGACCTCCTTCCTTAAGTACTTTATAGAAGGCACTAACAGCGAGGCACGTTGCACGAACCAATTGATCGCGTGACCACTCTATATAAGACTTGTTGCCACAACTGATATATTAAGCCAGTAATTCTGTGCATTAGATTCGGCTGTTGGCCTAAAACAAAGCCCCTAGCCGGTAGAATGCAACATTATTCGTCAACCAGAATTGATGGATTATGAGCTGCTGTTTTGACGCAAACACAAGAGGTTCCGACTATTATTAGCAGGCCCGTAGCTAGAGGGAGGACAGAACGGGCGTAGTCCGCCCTGCCTCCTATTTGCCCTCGCAAATTACCATTAAACAGAAGCAAATGCTACGAAGTTTGTGTAGTGGAACTGCCATGCACCGTTGTTCAACCCTTCAAACTGTTATTTTATATAATTATTTTTATTTGCAATTAATTTCTAAAGAAATATTAGTCAAATAATTTTTTAATTAATTGCAATGAGTAGAAATGTTACTAGACTGTAGCGTTCCCATTTATTTTTGGCAAATCACTTTCACAAGTCACTTTATATTCAGTGGTGAAAAAAATGAAAACATAGGTTTCAGATGCCGGAGATAAGAGTCCTAGTTGTCAGAAAGAGGCCTAGGCTGAAACTGCCAACATTTTGGTTGACGTAATGCGACCTTCTTCAGGGTGAAATTAAGCACTATCTTCTTCAGGCACCTTTTCTTGAAATGGACCTTTTATAGATGAACCGCGTAAAAAAGCATCCATTGCGCATGCGCTAACATTTTGATTAAGTGATGTACCCTCACTGTACCCTATCATCTGCTGCCTCGGGACACTCCTCTCGGCATTCGATGCCGGTGACAGTTGTTGCTGTAGGAGCACGAACTCATCGCACGAAGGGTGTCGCATTAGTTGACCGTCGCGTTGCCTCACCTGGAGACCTCCCCTCGATCAGACAGACCCAAGAGAGGGACGCCCAGTCTTTTTTACATGGTACATCTGTATATCATTATCAGTAGCACGCCCAAGGAAGAGGTGCGGGGTCGTGGAGCTTCAACCCTCCCAAAATACAATGAGACATGTCAAAAAAATACGGCTTTTACTAATTTTCTATACTGCGATTTATCCAATTCTGCCCCTGGTAGGTATCAGCTGACGGTTTCATCCAATCGGGAGCTTGAACGTCACTATGGTGACGTTCAAGTTTCCCATTGGATGAAACTGTCGACAGTTGATATCTGCCAGGAGCAGAGTTGGATAAATCACAGCTCTCGTATAGTGAAAAGAAACTCATTCAATATATCAGTTGCTTACATTATAAATATTAATTATAACTAATAGAAATAAATTTCATATTCAACGTAAATGAAAAATGAAATTTATAAGAAATCAAGTCGGCTGTATGCCTCTGCCCCCCCCCCCAGAAAAAACCGTAGGTTGGCCTCTCATAAATATAAATGTAGCATTTAGACTATGATGAGTAGCAATCGAAATACGAGCTAAGATTTCTGGACAACTAGGTGCACTCTGGAGATCTCGTAGACCAAAACATGTTCTTTCGACGAAATGGTTTGTTTTATACGCAATATATTGAATTATTTCCCTTTTCATCCTAGTGTCTCAGTATCTAATGCAGTGCCAGACTTCTTTCATTTAAGGAAATAGAAGACCTTGCGGAACCCCGATATTTGTCAATTAAAGGCCCATTCACAATGCAAATGTGCCGTTACTTCTTCTATCGACTTCACTCCAATTTCGATTCACGATTTTGAGTTACCGTTTTGTGATTGGTTCATTTCTTATGTCTTACTTAATCATAAGCACAGAAGCTTGCAGGCTTTTAAGTGAACTTCTTACGTGTTATGCTCATGCGAACGCATTGTGAACGAGTCCGCTTATGGACGTAAACCTAACTTTTAAGTCAACGCCATGCTTATGATTCAGTTCGCATTGTGGATGGGGCCTAAGTGCTGTGTGTGTGTGCGCAGGAGGCGATCCCGTGGGCCGGTCGGACGTGGGGTCGGCCGACATGTCGCCGCTCAACTCGCACGCGGGCTCCTGGACGCCGCTGCCGGGCGCGCAGGGGGCGGCGGCGGCGGCGGGGCGCGCGGGGGCCATGTCGCCGCCCCCTCCACCGCCCCCGCCCTCCGTCAACGCGGC